CATAGCGTTTATAGTGCTGAGACTTAACCCCTAGGCCACCAAGAAGGCCCCAGAGTATGTGTTCTTAAACACACCACAAATTGCTATTAAATTTTACATCTGTCCAATTTCACTTCCCCTTTTTTGATAGATTTAACTGTTTCTAGAGGAGCCATTCATGGAAAAGAGATGGATGTTAGCTGTCTGAACTTTGGGGAAGTGGGTTTTTTTAGTAAATGAATGAGGATATGAAGTTGGGGAAAATAGACTAGAAAACCTTTGGAGACTGTTAATGAAAGGATGGATCCAGATAACAACTGTCCACAGATGATCAGATGACTGGGGACAGACAGTTGGAGAATCTACAAAGATAGGATCAGATGATGGCACCTGAACTTCCTGATGGATCTTATCAATAAGAGATAGAGAGAGACAGCATGTCCTCTTGGTGGAAGTTTCCAGCACCAACTATTGTAATACCAAAATATTAATTTTGAAACTTATTGAGGACACAGGAATGTTTTAATGACATAGGAGATATCATAAACCAATGCCAAGCTTTAAGAATTTCTCTGAGACGGGCCCTCCCTGGTGGCGCAGAGGGTTTTAGCACAGCACTAAGTTAAAGCCACTTCCGCATGAGTTCAATTCCTGCCTGCCCAGGAGGTGACCACATAGGCTGCTCCCCTCAGCAGTGTACTTCGTCGATCTGCCTGTAATGCTCCCCAGTCTGTCTCTGGTGAAGCCTCTCGCTGCCCCTGAGCCTCTGGCCTGTACCCCAGTTCTGTATGCACAAATAAGTAAATCTTTTAAAAAAAATCTCTTTGAGATAAAGCAATTTCTTCAACAAATGATTTACTAGAAGGGGAGAAAAGCTTGTTAAGCCTTCTAACCAAATTAAAAAGGTTTAACCTAGTTTAAATCTATTGTTGAAAAGGAAAACTTGTTAAATAATATCTTGGGAATTTATTAACTAAATACCATGTAAGGATCTTGTTTGGATTCTGACTTGCATAAATAAAATATTAAAATGAAAACTGAGATAGACGGGGAGATTTTCACACTGACTGATACTGCTGATAAGTATGATCAAAATTTATTGTGGGTTTTTTTTTTAAATAAAAAGTAGAATATTTACCAACAAAATAACATGATTTCCTTAAAAGTATCCAGTGTAAATACTGGATGTTTTCACTCATAGCAGGAGTATAAAGGACCAAGCAAGAAAATAATAATAATAATGAACAACTGTATACCAGAGACATTTTACGGGGATGAAATGGGGGGTGGTATCAAAATTGGTGGGGGGAAGTACACTGCACAATGGTGATGGCACAGGGGTAATTTGGTGATGGGAAGCCCAAGGGGATTACAACTGAGATGGAAAAAGACACAAAATGATGTAAAAATAAACTATTATATTATTATTTAAAAAATCCAGTGAGTAATAATTGATTCACACAAGAAAGGATGCTAAAGGAGCGAAAGTTTGATGAGTAACAGGATATTTATAGATGAAAAAGGTCAACCCACAAGACACTTAATAATTACCAAGTGAAAACGAAACTTTGAAGTGATGACACTAGGCAGATACACCAAGCAAAGTTAACATTGCCACTGAGGGATTCACTGTCACTGAGGGACAATGAGAAGGACATGTTGCTTCTATGGTGCTTCTGCTAAAAATGTAGAGCTGGACTCCAACCATGAGGAATCATCAGACAGGCAAAGCTGAAGCACATTTTACCAAATAACTGACCTGTATTTTTCAGAAATGTCAAGGTCATGGAAGACAAAGAAAGGTTTGAAAACTGCTCTAACTGAAGGAACCTGGAAAGGCAGCTGAACGCGAGAAGCAATCTGGGACAACTGGCAAAATCTAATCAAGGTTTGTAGAATTCCTCATTTTGCTAGTTGTATAAGAGAATGATTGTATAAGAGAATGCCTAGTACTTAGAAACATAGTAAATTAGGTAGGGGGATGGATGGTTAGGTAGGTAGGAACAGTTGGTAAGTGGGCGTTACCCTTAATCTGGATCAATTTGCTCTGAAGCCCCTTTATATGAGGTTTAATTACTAAATTTGTTTATTAGTTTTATTTATTTATTTTTAAGGATTTATTTATCTATGCACACAGAACTGGGGTACAGGCCAAAGGTGCAGGGGCAGCGAGAGGACCCATCAGTAAGAGTGGGGAGCCCAGCAGGCAGACTGAAGAAATACACTGCTAAAGGGGAGCAGCACATAAGACAAGCGGTCTCCTATGCCATGTGGGTCACCCTCCATCGGGGGCCAAACCCATGCTGAAGCGACTGCAGCTGGATTCATAGCGCTTTGCTTTAACCCATTGTACCACCAAGGAGGGTCCTAAGTTACTAAATTTAAATTACTTAAGTTACTGAATTTTGTATTTTCTGTCATTTGTGGCTCAGTCTAATCTTAATAATATATATTTTTTAATTTCAAAAATCGTAAGTGCTTTGTGGACAGTACAATGTCATTCATCATCATAATAGTGGTAAGACTTAAGAATTTTTGTTGAAATGGTGGCATAAAGCCATGAGGTGAGCTGCTCAGAGGCTGTAGATACCTGGCATGGATTCCACGGTTATACTGGCAAGACTCTTTATACTGAAGCTCTTTATACTCAGTTAAAATTCAGTTCCTGCATTACTGAACTTACCACAAGTGCTAAATAGTCACAGTGAGCAGTGCAGATCATTGTAGAAAGTTCTGTTGGGCTGTACTGCTCTCCATTATGGAGTCGAGAATATGTCTCAGAATATGATCCAAAAATCATGCATTTTCCAAACACTGCTGGTAGTTGGTGAAAAATGTGCATTGTTGGGGTCACTCCACACCTATTCAGTCAATCTGTGAACAAAAGATCTGTACAAGGTATTCCCTCTATCCAAGTAGACTTGGTAGGGCAAAAGGCAAGCATCATCTTTTGTTCATGTGGCTTAGTCTATTCTGTTCAAGGCTCCAAAATTTGAGAGAGATCAGTAGACCAGGATACTATGGAACAGCATCTGTGCCTTCAACCAAACTGCCTGGGTTTAAATCCTTGCCCTCCACTCATTATGTGGCCTTGGTTCAGTTACTTGAACTCTGTGCCTCAGCGTCTTGTCTGTCAGGAAACCTGCTCTATGGTTTGTGTGAAGAGCCCTTGAGTCCATAGGTACAAACATTCAAACATGTCAGGAACATGATAGACACCGTATTATTATTAGTAGTCACATCTTCTCAAGGCTGTTAATGAATGAGGGGTATGGGTGCAACCTACCTCCCTGGTCTTGTCTGTTGCTCCCCTTAGCAATGTATTTCAGTCAGTCTGCCTGTTCTGACTCTGGTGAATCCTCGCCCCTCTGGCCTTCACCCCAGTTCTATGCAAAAAAAATAAATGAATGCGGGGGGGCCTTCTCTGGTGGTGCAGCGGGTTAAAGCACAGCACTAAGAAGCTAAAAGCCACTTTAGCTTGAGTTCGATCCCCACCCTGGAGGTGATCCACATGGTGCAGCAAACCTCTCCTGTCTCACCCTCTGCTCCCCTCAGCAGTGTACTTCATTGATCTGCCTGTTCTGCTCCCCACTCTATCTCTGGTGAATCCTCTCACTGTCCCTGCACCTCTGACTTGTACCCCAGTTCTGTATGCATAAATAAAAACATCTTTTTAAAAAAAAATGAATGTGGGGTATGACTTGCTCAATTTTCCCTGGTCTTACTATCATCCATGCCCCCAAAACTGTTACTTCCTTTATTTTATTCCTTCACAGCGCTTAATACTCACTGAAATGACCATCATTTGTTTTTTGCTTATTTGCAGTCATTTGACATTTATTGTGCACTACTGTATACTAGCTAATGTTTTGAGCATGTACATTAGAGACTAGAAAGGGGAAAAGGATAAGATGTATGTGTATGGCGTGCCCGGGGGGGGGGAATGCGGGGGGCGGGAAGAGAAAGATAAATTAATACATGCTATATTGCCAGCTGATTATTGGGTGAAGGACAAGGTAGAAAGAGAAGTGGTCAGGCCTGGCTTATCTGAGGAAGTGGCACTGAAGCAGAAGCCTAAAGGAAGGAAGGAATGAAGCACTGACTCCAACCTGGTCTGGCCTGTACCTCCTTCTCCCATTATCCCAGCTTTGGCTGGGGTTTCCAGAGGTTGTCTCTGTACTGTTGGAGGGGAATTCTAGTGGGAAGTGCAGGCTTCCTAGCCTATGGCTACTGTTTGCCTCACACCTGTTGGAGTGTTTGTCCTGGAGTTGCTGGGTGGGGCTTCAGCTTGGGAGCCAAGAGTCCTCATCAAAGCTCCAGATCAATCTTCAAAGGACCCACCTCTGTGCCTCTGGACGAAGAAGGGTACATTACCCAAGAACTGCAAGGGACAGCTTCAGCCCTTGTGGGCTTCTACTGGCTTGGGTAGGGCTGACTGGAGCTGGCTGCCCACTCTCCTCCCTCCTTCCACAGTAGAGGATTGAGGAGCCTTTCTCCCACTGTGTTGTAGTTAAGTGGATCTTGAGTTAGCTCACTTGGGTTCAACGCCAGGCAAACATTGCCCCAAATGGCAATGTGACCCTGAACAGCTTATTGAAACTTTTCTGAGCCCATCTCCTAAGAATTCATGCCTGGAACATGCCTAATGGGGGCCAGCCATTTCTTTGGAGGATTATCTGGGATGGGTTTGTGCCCCCAACATTAGTTATCCAGTGCCTGGGTGGGTTATGTACTGGAATGGAGAAAGGGCCGCTTGCACAGGCTCTCTGACAGGAAGCAAGGTCCCAGGGCCTAGTTAAGCACTGGGAGGGGCCAGACAGCTGCCCTTGGGGAAATGTCAGCATTTAGAAGCCACAGCACCCCTGCCAGGTGGGAATCAGGAGGTTGGCAAAGAATGAACTACTTAGACAGCAGGCACCATCTTCTGTCCATCTATCACTGAGCCACAGGGGGTTCATGGTGGAATTACCACCCTAAGCCTGAAAAGACAACAGCCATCAAAAAGAGAAATTGAACCGTTTATTTACCTGGACCTGGGTCCTAGTCATGGATGACATCTGGGGACCTCTATAAAGGAGATACCCATTAAGTGTCACCTTTCTCCTCAAAGATTCCATACCCCCGGCCTTTGTATCACAAGAAAATCATTTTGAGGTGTGAGATTTCCTTCCCCAAGGTGGGCTGTATCCAGCTCAACAGTGGGGACACAGGCCAGCATTAAAAGGGGTTTATGCAGGTCTAGACCCCTCTTTGGCAGTTTCAACACAGACATGAGGAGAAAGAACATCACCCGTCCACTGAGGGGGAAACATGGGGAGAAGGGATCGCAGACATCTCACACACACACCTCTCTCTCATACACAGACATTAACAGACACACATAAATATACTTTCGTACCGCAATATCCCTTCCGTCTCTCCTTCCGGCAGGTCAGGAGAGCGCGCTCCACAGCTGTCCCTGGCACCCTCACTCCCGCACCCTGGTTTCAATACAACTTGAAAGGAAGGCTAAAGACTGCCCTGCCTTAGGAGATCTGGCACTATGTTCACTGGGCCTGAAGGGGGAGGAATTTGGGGGGTGGAGGTTCTGTGTGAACAGCTCCGCTAGAATTTTCTTGGGTTCCACCCTGCTCCCCAGAGAGGTCCAAGCCCTTCTCCTCACCACCACCTCCCCAATCTCAGACCAGTTTTTCCAGCCCTTGGTGATTCCTCTGTGCCCCAAATAGTGCAATTGGCCCATGAGGTCTGACAGCGGGGATTAGCATCACCCCCACCCCACACTACCACCCTGTGATGTCCTGGCATGTTATAGAATGAGAGGAAAAGGAAGAAGAAACCTAACCTAAATGGCATCTGATGAAACTTGGGGAAGCTATGGAATTGGGCCCAGGAAGGAGACCTCCAGTTCCTTGGAATGTGGCTCCAGAGAAGTGGGGTGAGGTTGATAGAAGGTGGCTAAGGGTTAAGGGTGTCAACTTAGAGAGGGGAGTCTGGTGTGGGTACAGGGTCACACAGTTGTTGAAAGGCTAAAACCCTTTGTGCCAGCTCATAAGTTGTTCTGCCCTTGAGTTCCCCTTGAGTGCTGTTCCACTGTCACCTTGCTCTCCCCATGATTCAGTGTTGAAGGGGTACAAGGGTCATTCCAGGACTCTGCTGAAGCTCTGCTATGCAGCTGGGGTGCCTCTGCAGCTGTCCCGGGCACAACCTATTTCCATTATCACCCAGTTCTGAGTGCAGGCTTCTTGCCTGGCACCCCCGTGTCTCTGTTCAAGGCTGGAGCACAGACCACTCTACTGTGGCCTGGTTATAAGCACATTTGCTGATCAGACCATCGTGTTGCTCTCCAGAAATGTGGGCAATGTGGGCATGGGTGTACCCCTTTCCAGTGAGCTGGAACTGCGGAGGGGCAGGAGGCGGTGGCCTGGGGTCCCATCCCGCCGTCCTTGTACCCCTGCCACCCGAGTCCAGCACTTCAATGGACGCAATACCTCCCGCCGCAGGTCCCGGCTGCGACATGTATAGATAACAGGGTTGAGTAGCGAATTGAGGGTGGCAAAGGCAAAGAAGTAGTGGGCCTTGTAGAGGACAGGGCAGGACCGGACGGGACAGGCATAGTCCAGGAGGAGGATGCTAAAGGCGGGCAGCCAGCAGACGATGAAGACGCCCAGCACAATGGTGACTGTCTTGAGCAGGGCCAGTGTCTGTGGGCCAGCCACATCAGCATGGCTGGAGCGGACCACACAGTAGATGCGGACATACAGAGCTACAATGGCCAATAAGATGACGGAGAAGATGGTGACCACGCACAGTACGTAGTGCTTGGCATAGAGTGGCAGAACAGTCGAGCAGGCCTCAAGGTGGCCCAGGCAGTTCCAGCCAAGGATGGGTAGACCACCGAGAACTAGGGAGATGAGCCAGGAGGCCGCAATGAGCAGCAGCATGCGGCAGCTCTTGTCGCTGCCATAGATCTTGACCTTGGCAATGGCTACGTGCCGTTCGATGGCAATGGCCAGGAGGCTGAAGACAGAGGCAGAGAGGGTGATGAAGGCGGAGCCCTCACGGGCAAACCACTGTACAGGTGTCAGCCCCAACGTGACACGGCCTGAGAGTAAGGTGTTGGCTATGAAGGCCACCCCGGCCAGCAGGTCTGAGGCTGCCAGGTTACCCAGGAACAGGTACATGGCTGAGTGGAACTTGCTGTTACGTGAGACTGCAATCAGCACCAGCAGGTTTTCTACCACAATGGCACAACAAAGGATGATGATGACAACCGAGGCGACCTTGCGGGAGAGTGTCTCCTGAGTGTCCGGTGTCTCCTTGGTGTAATTATAGTGTTCCTGAACCTTGCTGGGGCTTAGATATTCCGAGTACAAGCTGCCCATGATGGGGCTCAGTGGCTGGCTGGGGCCATGAGGCTGTCAGAGCTGCAGAGAGAAAACACAGGTCAGTGGTGTGCCTGCTGCCTGAGCTTTGGCTTTGGATGACTATGACTGGTTAGAGCCCCAGCTCTATCACTCATTAAGTCAAACTTATCATCACTCCTGTTTTACAAGTGGGAATCCCAGAGAAATCAATTCGCTTTTCCTAAATCAAGAACTATAAACGACAGAGACAAAGACACTAGCTCCTCAGGCTCCTACCCCTAGGTTACGCTGTTTTTCAAAGGAATAGAAACTACCCTGCAAGGCAATTGGGACACAAAAGTGGGCCTCTGGAAGCTTTGCCTACCCCCAAGAGCGAGTCCTGAGCAAAGCCTGGAGGACTTGCCTCTTTTCTTGAACACACTGGAGCCTCCGGCCTCATTCAGCCTGTCAACCTGGGTCAGCAAGATGCTCGCCGATGATAGCACCTACTCATTACCACCCACTGCCCTGGATTTCAGGCTAGGCCTAAACCTTGAGGCCATGGGTGCACCTAAGATAAGGTCTTGGGGAGACACTAGGGCGGCCCTGAGGTTCAAGCATCCCAGAGGTCACATCATCTTTAAGGACACAGACTTTGGAGGCAATCCAGCCTTCAACCCCACTCCACCTCTGACACGTTGGAATCTTGGGCAAGTTACAAAACACAACTCTTCAATGTCCTCGTGTGTGCAATAGAGAGAAGAAAGTCCATTCCACAGGAGTGACAGGGAAATTCTGTTGTATGATACATAAGGCAAGCTTATCATAAGCATTCAATAAATAGCAAATAATACTTTTTTTTTCTACCCTCTTCCTGACACACACACAGAGCTCTGAACTGGGTGCCATCCAATTTGAGGGGGGAGGGGATGTTGGCTGAGTCCACCAGGCAAGATCCCCAACTCAGTCAACATCCCCAACAGTCTGTTCTCAGAACAGTCTAGCCCTACCCTGGGATAGAGGGTCCCATGGGGGTGGGCTGGGCATTGGCACCCCTCTCCCCAGCCAGAATGAAATCCAGATGTGAGGCTCCTGGAACAAACAGGGTGGAGTCCTCACTCACAAGCCTTTCCAGTCACATCCTGTGTGGGGAAGGTTAGGAGGGGGTGACGGGGTGGGGGAGCCACAGGAGACAGTCTGGGAGGTCCTGGCTGGGAGGACCCGGCAGCGGCAGCTGCGCTTAAGTCATGTGAGTGGTGAGGGGGCGTGCAGCCCAGCAGCCAGGGAAGATGCAGGGAGGGGAGATGGTATTTGTTTCCATGAAAGCCTGAGTCACCCCCCTTCTCAAGGAAAAATGAGCCGTGGGGGGAGGGGGTGGGAAGAGGTGCGTGGGCAGAGGATGAGAGGCCTACATTATGGCCTCCCCCCAGCTTGGGAGAGTACGGGTGGGTCTCAAGCAATTGGTGCAGTGCATCTGCCTTTCATAAGGGAGTCCAGCAGTTAGCTAAATGGGGGAGGGGGCTCAGGAAGTGGCCTGTCCAGGACCCTGGAAACAGGCCTGGCAAGAACCGCATGCATGCCAGGAGCACATTTCCAGAAAAGGCTGGTTAGGCCGGTTCCTAGTAACCCTGGGAGTAATGGGGGGCTCCAAGGGTTGCCCAACCATCTCAATTCCTGGACGCCCCTTCAGAGGGGCACCCTGATTCTCGGCCTGACAGAAGCAGCTGCTCCCCCTGGGCGAAGGGACATCCGTCCTAGTTTGGGAACAGAGAAGAGCTTGTGAGCGTCTACGGGGACCGCTGCCCCGCCCAGATCACCACACAGAAGCTCCTTGTTTCCCAGCAGGACAGGGCCCCGGGCTTCTGATGCCCTCTGCCCGGTGGGGAAGCTCCTTGCTCGCTGGGCCTTGACAGAGCGGCAGTCTGGCCAGAAGCACCGCAATTGGCTCATTTATAATCGCAGGGCACTGAGTGATTTGCCTATTGGTCTGGGCTTTCAGTCCGCAGCATTTGATTGGCCCAGTTGGGGGCGCTCTTCAGCTCGCGCTTTTGCTCTGGTCATTTCAGGCAGCGTTAGCACTCAGCGATAAGGCTGTGGGTGACTCCCTGGAAAGTGTTAACCAACCGTGGCCTGACCTCTGGGTCACCCAAACCAGATGCCCCCCAGGGCGTCCTGGTCTACTAAGCCCCTTTCTGAGATTCATAAGTGAGAATCAAGCACCCGTCGCAGGTCTAGGAACACACTTGCCAGTGGACAAGAAACCCTGAGTGTCCCTCACAGCCGACTCTGTCCCCTCCTCCCCATCATGAGGGGGTAACCATCCCTCTCCAGTCAGACAGCCAAGAAAAAGATTTATGGCAGCTTCCTGGAGAAATAAGAAATGGCTTCAGCCCTTGCACCCCAGAGAGTGACCAAAATGTCTGTCTTCTTAAAGGGATGTGAGGTGAGAAGACTGGACTCACTCCTCACTTTGTGCAAACCCCACAGGTTATCAAGGCATCCTCAGAAGGAGGGCTGACTCTCCTAGTTGGAGAAGAGGGAAACTGAGGCTCCCCACTAGAACTTTGCTAACTCGAGCTTAATTTAAGGTCCTCGGCTGTTTGCAGAAAGAGGAAGCAGGGCCCAGAGAGTGAACTGGCAGAAAAGCCACCCCCAAACAGATACATTCCCCCTGTACCAGGCCCCTGGGCCTGACTAAGCGCAGAACCTGTCTCCTGTTCACCTTCATGGAGGTAATTCTGACCCCCTCTCAGAGATCAGGAGGACCCCAGGCTCAGAACAGCCTGAAATGGAGCGGGTGGTACCAGTGACAGGGTTTGGAAGGAAAGGGAAGACTTAAAGCTGTTGAGAGAGAGACTGGGAGAGAGGAAGGTGCCCTTCCCCTCAAGTTCTGAGGCTTAGGGCAATCCTTTCCCTAACCCCAGCAGTCAGGTCTCCTCTATACTGCCATCTCTACAAAGCCAAAGAAAGCTTTTTATTTGTTGCTTCTCAGCTCCAAATTCTTCCATAGCTGGCCACTGATGAAAACGGCCTGGCCCTATGCACCTAGCTTCCTCTTACCCTGCCCCCACTCCAATCACACTGCTCTCCTGTGTGACACCCCCATCCTACCTCAGAATCATTGTCCCTGCTATTCCTGGCATGTCCTTCCCCCACAACCTTGAATGACTGCCTGCTCATCTTTCAGGTTTCAGTTTAAAGATCACTTTCTCAAAGGAGACTACTAACCACCAGACTATAGTAGACCTGTCTATCACAGTATCTCACTTTATTATCCTTCCAGCACTTGCCAATTAGGAAATTATGATTGTATTTCTTGTTTTCTGTCTGGTTTCCTTGGTAAATGTGACTTCGTTGGAGGTCAGCAATCAAGTGTGTTTTCATTTGCTGGAATGATGCCTGGCTTACAAGAAGGTGCTCAGAAAAACATGTGGTGTTGCATGAATGGATGGATGAATGGATTTGGATCAAAGGAAGCTCCAGCGGGCCCCTAAGGGTGGAAGCTCTTAAATTCAACCCAAACAACAGCAAAAGAGGCCGAAGACACCTCTGGTCAGCTGGCAGCCCTCTCTCTTATGGGAAACCCAGCTTGTCTTCCTGGAGCAGACAGCGACAGTGCCCGCCCCCGCCTTTGGATAGCACTCTCAGCCTCCTTATCTGGCCCTGGAATGCACGGTATCCACACTAACTCCCGCTGCAGCCCCGCCGCCTGCCTCTCCCACGACAGCCACGCGAGCGAGATCCCCACAGCTGCAATTGGAGGTGAGGACTTCTCTCAGTCTAGCGAGGAAACTTGCCTCTATATTCCAGGAGGACTGAGCGAGGAGGAGTCTGAGAAGCAGCCGCATACTCCTGGCATGCACGTATGCCACATCCGCGACAAGCCACGCGGGGGATCAAGGGCTCAATGACCTCGCTTAGAGCATCTGACAAGGGAAGAATCGGGGAAGGGGTGGAAATCCCCGGGTGAGTCAACTCGTGCCGGAGGAGGGGGCGACGTCTAGACACCCTCTGGGCCGTGAACTACAAGGGGATCTGCAGACCACGGACCTTATCTCCGGACCCCAAGAGGAAAAAGGCGCAGGGAGGACTCAGTCACGTTCCCTTTTCGCCCAGAACATAGCCACGCTCCAGGGGAGAGAAGCTACCAGGGGAAACTGAGGCAGAGTCAGACATGCAGGCAATGGGCGACAGTCCGACCCGGGGTCCCGCCCCTTGTCTCCGGGGTTCGGCAGCACGCGACCGCTTTTACCCCTCACTGGGTTAGACTCAGCCAGGAGGGGCGCCCTACCCGCCTAGACACACACTCCCCAAACTCCTAGTCCCAAGCAAGCCGTTCTGCCGCTCAGCCAGGGACAGAAGGGGCTCGGATCCGCCTTCTCGGCACCAACTTCCTGCGAGTGGAGAGGACGCAGAGTGCAGGCGGCCAAGGCAGTGGGGACCGCCTAGAGCAGTGAGGGTGCACGGTGACCACTCCCTCCGGAAAGCAAGAGCACGGGCGGCGCGTGCGCGCCCCGGTGCGACAGCGACCCCCCGCCGGGCCCCACACTACTGATCCCGCGCCCTCACGCGACAAGCTCATGCCCTTTTTGCCTCCCCCCGCCACGTACGCTCACCTGGCTAGGCCGGCCTGGATCCTTGCCCTGGCCTAAAGGTTTTTGGCGTCTAGGTCCCCGGGACGGCCGCGGCTGGGGCTGCGACTGCCCGCCGGGCTCCGCCGCGTCCCGGGGTTGGGGACCTCGTTCTCTGGGAGGAGGATAGAGGCGCCGCCTCGGGCCCCCTGGCCCCGCCCTCCTCCCCTCCCCTTTCCGGAGCGGCTGGAATGAATTCCAGATGTGGCCGGCCTTGGCGCGCGGGGGCTGCTGAGGGAGGTGCGCAGGGTCCCTTTGTCCGCACCCCCACCTCTCGCCCAGCCCCTCCCAGCCCCCACCCGTGAGAACAAGCGGGCTTGATGCCCAGCAATATGGTCCACTATTACGTTGCTCCTGACCAGGTGGCCTCAACCTGAAACAACTTGTCAATTTTAGATATTTTCTTGGCCCATCTCTGGAATTGGAGGAGCAGGTAGGATCCTCTTTATTTACTCAGTAAGGAACCGTGAAGAACCCACTATGTGTCAACGCAGCAAATAGACATTAAGTATGTGTGTCCGTCCAACAAATAATCAATTCCTACTTTCTGCCGCTCCCTGTGCCAACAAAATGATGGTTTTTGCCTTGATAAGAACGCAGAATTACTGCACAGACCAAAGGCCTACCCTGTATATGTCTATTGTTGTCTCACCCTCCCTGGGATCAATAAGGAGCCCAGATTGCTCTCCTCCCCGTCTTTATCTAGTTTTTTGGTCTCTCTTTCCTCTTTTAGTTTTTCCTGTGTACGGAGGTGAAGTGCAACTTCGTTTATGATGCTTATGTCTGTGTGTGTGTCCATATTACTCACTAAAATTTGTGATAGGAGAGCCTCTTCAGTTCTTCAACAAATGTTTTTGGAGCACCTAACAGGCACAGCAGTGAACAAAACAGGGACGGGGAGATAGGTAAGGGAGAAATCCTTGTTTTGATGGAACTTAAGTTCAGGTGGGAAAGACAGACTTAGGTAGAAAGGTACTAATTGTGAAAATGTGTAGGCATTCTGCTTATACTTTTATTGACCAAATATATTAAGCACATGCCATGTGCAGGACACTATCCTAAAAGTTAGTGATATATCAGGGAACAAACAGATAAAACTCCCCGGGGGGTGAAGTTGATTTTCTAGTATGTGCCCAGAATATACAGAAAATTGCAGGAATGAAAAATTGATAAAATTCCTGAGGGAAGAACTGAAAGGGAACAGAGCATGGAGGGAGGCTGCTTTTATTCTATAAAAATTTTTGTGTCTTTAGGCCTTTGTAACATGCTCATACAGTCCCAATCCTAACAGTAAATTAATCTTTAAAATGACACCCAGACAGTACAATAATAAAAAGGGATAAGCTGGAATCATGCTTCTGTATGTATATTATACTTTAGTAAATAATGTTGAAGAGTAAATTGATAAAAAAGAGTATATGCACCCCATATTCATGGTAGCATTATTCACAGTAGCCGAGAGTGAATGAATCAAGAAGATGTGGGCCTCCCTGATGGTGCAAGACGTTAAGCAAAGAACTATGAAGCTATCAGCAGCACAATTCCATCCCTGGCCAGGGAGGTGACTCACATGGCACAGCAGACCTCTCCTGTCTCCCTACTACTGCCCTCAGCAGTGTATTTAGTCAATCCGCCAGATACTTCAATTGTTTCCATTCTTGGCTATTGTGGATAATGCTATCATGAATATGGGGTGCATATACTCTATCTCTGTTAATCCTCTCATCCCCATACCTCTGGCCTACACCCCAGCTCTTGTATACATAAATAAATAAAATAAGTCTTAAAAAAAAATGTGGTATGTGTGTTTCTTTTCTATATCTGTACTTCCATCATTTATATATTCATACACACACACACTAGAATACCATTCAGCTAGGAGAAAGAAGTAAATTCTGTCATTTGTGACCAGGATGAAATTTGCAAACAATACACTAAGTGAAATAAGTCAGACAGAGAAAGACAAGTAGTGCATGTTATCACTTACATGTGAAGAATTAAAAAAAATTTTTTTAAAGCCTAACTCAGAGTAAAATAATGGTTGCCAGGGGTTGGAGAGCTAGGGTAGGTTGTATAGGGAAAGACAAACTTTTAGCTATCAAATGAATAAGATCTAAGACCCAAATGTAAAATAATATGACCAAAGTTGGTAACATTGTAAGGTATAACTGAAAGTTGCCACAACAGTAAAACTTCAATGTTCTCACACAAAGAGATGAATATGTGAGGTGATGTATTTCTTAACATTATAGGGGACTCCTTTTACAACATATACATACATTAAATCACCATGATGTACATTTTATGTATTTTATACTTTATATGTCTATTATACTTAAATTAAGACTATTTGATTCTCTTGACAGTGTAATCAAGAAAAAGAAAGATGAGGTTTAGTGCTTGCTTTTACAGGTATGTCATAGTGAAGAGTATTGGAAAACAAAACAATAAGAAAGGAAATTTTAGAAGCGTCCATTTGTCTACCTTAAAAAGTAAAAAAGGGGCCCTCCCTGGAGGCACAATGAGTAAGGACGCAGCACTGTAAGCTGGCCACAGCTGCTTCAGTGAGAGTTCGATCCCTGCCCCCGAGGTGACCTACATGGCACGGCAGACCTTTCCTGACCTGCCCGCTGCTCCTCCTAGCAGTGTACTTCATCCATCTGCCTGCTCTGCTCCCCGCTCTGTCTTGGGTGAATCCTGTCACCACCCCTGCACCTGGCTTGTACCCTAGTTCTGTATGCATCAATAAATAAATCTTTAAAAAAGTAAAAAAGGATTTGTCTTGTATTGATGTGAAACTGTCTTCAGTTGACAAAAGGACCACGTACACCAGTTTGCATTGCTTTTCATTTCTGCGTATATTTATAAGGCTATATAAATACACACATATTTGCCTGTGGACTCACAGGCCTTCTCTGGGAGAAGGCACAAGACACTGGTCACAGCGGTTACCCTCAAAGAGAGGAACTTGGGGGCGGGGAACAGGTGAAAGAGGACCAGGCTTTTTATGGTGGGTCCTGGGAGACTGCAATTTACAAAAGACGTTAAAAATCAAATGAAAGGTAACAAATCACTAGGCTTCTACTTGTAAAACAGTGCCTGTAATAGTAGTAGTAATAATAATACTATCATGATATAAATAACCAGTAACATTTTTCACATCAGTGTTATTCAACATTTTGTTATTAACAAATATATACCATTAAGTACTTAGGTTATTAATTAATAAAAGTATAATAAAATAAATATGTTTGCAGTATAAAATTTCATATAATGTGACATACAATATTCTGCCTTACCTCTAATACCAACTGGTTTCTGCCATCCAAAGGTACAATTCAGTGGAAGAGACTGAGAAGAAACCAGACAGTTTACTACAGGGTAGAACTTTGATGAAAGATAAGTCAGGGCTTGACTTCATTCCTTTCCCTGAGCCAGATTTCAGAGTTTACTGAATTCTGGGCCAGATCTTGGGTTCTACTCACATCTCCAAGAAACCTCCCTGCCAAGTAAAACGGTTGCCCAGACAACCTCTAGAAACCAGGTGTTCTACCCACAGGGGAAAAGGTACAAAGAAAACTGGGTCCTCTACTGTCAAAACTGTCGCAGCGGAAAACCTCTGCTCTCTGCGGGTGACGGGAAGGCTGGGAGGAAGTGCCACCCCAACTTGCTTAAGCTAGCTCAGCAGTTTGTCATTCTCCAGGGAGTTGGGGGAAGGGGGATGACTTAGAGGCTACAGACATATGCGCTGTCAGCTAGTGGGGCTGTCTCCTAGACAAAGGTGATGTCCCCAAGGACACTCACATCTATGTCAAGAGGCAATTCCACCTCCCCCACTCTCATCCTCTACTTCACCAGAATCTCTGCTGGATCAGCTGAGGGAACAGGCTGGAGACTGAAAAACTCTGGAGGTTTACTTAGACTTCCTGACACTCTTGGGGGAATAGAAGAGGAAAACTGGACGTTGTCCTGCGGGGGGGGCCAGGGGGCGCATTTAAAGAGTGGAAGAGGAAGGAAACAGGGTCCTTTTCTTGAGGAGCTCCCAGGCAGGGGAAAAAGAGGAAAAGGAAGAGGCTTGGACCAATCTCCACTAATTATAGGGCCATCAACAATAATGGCTAACGCTCACAGGACACAGACAGACTGTGCTGGGTGTGGCTCTATGAATCCTTACAAGCCTAGGAAGTAGGTATTATTGTTATTATCATCTCATTTTTTAAAAATAGACCATATTTTTTAGAAAAGCTTTAGGCTTAAATCAAAATTGAGAGGAAGGCACAGAGATTTCCCATTTATCTCTGAACAACACACATGTACAGGCTCCTCCATTATCCATATCCTTCCCACCCAGATGTCTCATTTGACACAACTTATGAACCTAGCTTAATATATCATTATCATTAGTCTATAGTTTATGTTGACATTGTGCATCTTATGCTTTTGGACAGATGCATGACATGTATCTACCTATACATCCCTTCCTCCCCCGAATATGTAGCAACCATTGAGTTTTTCACTGTCTCCATAGTTTTGCCTTTTCCTACTCACAGCATTTTAAAGTGAGGAAACTGAGGCACTGAAGAATTTCAACTACAGTTCTCTGTCATCTTTTCCATCCTGAGTCCTTATCCTGTCCCAATGTAGTCACCTCCCCCTTCTCTGACCCAGATCTTGGGACAGAGGACAGTGCTTACCAGGCAGGATCACAACAGCCAGTGGTGCACTAATCCAGAAGACAAGGAACCCTCTGGCCTCTGATCCTACCTCCACTGCCCCAAATATTATCTATTCCCCCAGTCAGTGAGCTCCAGGCTATCCTCTCTGGGCTTCCACTGTTGTTTCACACCCCTCCCCTCTCCCCCGCCAGCTCTTTGCTTTTGGCAGGAGGAATTGTATAAAGAGAAGTGTCCGAGACAGGCCTCAACTTTCCCATCACCACTCCGGCACTGGCGGAAGGGGCCCCAGGCTTCAGAGAAGATTTCCAGATGCTGATCTTGGCAAGCAGTGGAACTGCAGCCACTCATCTCCTCCATGGGCCCAGCCCATTTTCAGCTTCAGATGGGTTGGGGAGGCTCCCCGTGGAG